ACGTACGGCCATGTCAGGAAGTGTTTGCAGAGTGGTTTTCAGCTGGTCGGCAGGAGACAGCGTGTCAGGCAGGTACATGGCTCGAGACAGAAGCAGCAGAGATGTGGGAATCTGTTTGTTCAGGTGCAGGTCCAACCACTGTTGAAGACAAACATCACAACAGGTTTTGAGTAAAAAAAAAAAACAATCAGTTAAGAAGCTCCGCCCACAGTGAACCTGAACTCATCACCTGGCTGAGCTGCTCTCTCAGTCGTTCCTCCGTGACTCCCAGAGACCTCATCCCTCTGACCCGGCAGGCCGTCTGCACCTCCTTCACGTTCAGGCTCTCCACTCCTTCTTCTGCGATCAGCTGAGGACACAGACGTCTCGTCAGCTCCTCCCAAGTGTTTAATAAACATGTTTCTTCTTGTACGTTTGTGTTCAGAGCTCTGTATGACATAAACTGGCCTTCCTATATTAAAAGCTGTTTTCATATGAACTCACAAATTCATAATTATCCTACTGGGCAAACTCTTCATCTTCCATCATACAAATCATTGCCTGACCAGTTCTCAGTCAGATTTTATGGAGATAAAATGTAGAATTCAAATGTTGAACTTGTGGAACCTTCAAWTCTCTGTGTATAAAAACAGATTAAAAACCAAGCTGTTGATTTTGAAATGTGAAATTTGAGTGATTTTAAATGCATATAGATTTTTCTTATTTTTGTATGCGTTTAATTTTGATGTTGATTTTTGTATTCGTTATTTTTATTTTATGTTTTTTACTGTAGTGTTGTAGTCTGATTTGATTGGGAGTGGTTTTTACATAAGCCTATTCAGGCTTTTACCCTTCCCTTGCACGTGAAATATCTCTTTTTGAATTGTTGTTGTGTTCTTTTTGTTTTACTTTTGTGTTTGAAATAAATCAAATCAAAAATCAACAAATAACCGCCCCGATGGTTTCAGAGACGACGGCAGGAGAGACACCTTTACCTTGTCGTCTGCGCGGATGGCCCTGAGCTTCATGATGAGCTGGAAGCGCAGGAAGTTGTTGGTTCCGATGGACTGCAGCTCCAGCAGGCGGCAGAGAGCCACCAGCTGGGGTCGGGTCAGGTTGTCCAGAGTGAGCTCGTCCTCGAACAGCTTGGAGAACTTGATGATCTCCTCGTTACTGGGACGCTCCCCGGAGTCCCTGATCTGCAGGAGACACCAGAACCGCCGTCAGAAAACCGGACCTAACCTCCGGCGAGGAGCTGGGAGAAGAAATAAAAAGCGTCTTCGCTCTCAAACCTTCTGGAAGAAGGTGGAGAACTCCTCCGTCACGTTGCTCTTGGTGGCCTTGTTCCTCAAAGCGATCTCCTCGATGGTGTCCTGCAAGAACTTTGCCATCTCTAGTTTGACCCTCAGCTCCTTTTTCAGCCTCTCCTCCTAAAAAAACACGTTCAAAATGACGTGAACTTTACTCARTACAAGCTGAAACAATCACCACTTCCTGCTAAACTAAAGCTGCTATCACACRTTTAAAACAGCAGCTAAAATGCTGACGAGGACATGAAATGATCTGAATCATGATTCAAACAAACTGCTGACTCTGCAGAAATTAGCTAAAGAAGCTAAAACTGAATCATTTAAAGCTATAGAACACCAGCTAAAAGCTAAATAAAACTAAAAAGTAAGAGTTGTAGCAAAACAAGAGTAAATAAATCACTAAGATTAGCTTTTCTCATTATCAGCTAAATACTAGCAAAAAGAAAAAAACAGCTAAAGCTGAGAAACAAAATGCTAGCTCAAAGCTACAAGTAGCAAAACACTAAATAAAATGTGCCAAAAGCAGCAAAAGGTTAGCATTTGTAAAATGTAGCTGATAGTAACAAGACACTAGCTAAAAGAAAAAGCCAATAAAAACACATTACTTTAGCTAACAGCCAAACAAACACCAGCTAAAACCTAGAAAAAAGTCTAACTAAAAAGGTAAGATCTGTAGCAAAACAAGAGTGAAACACTAACATTAGCTTCTCTCATTATCATTTAAATACTAGCAAAAAGAAAAAAAAGCTAAAGCTGAGAAACAAAATGCTAGCTCAAAGCTACAAGTAGCAAAACACTAAATAAAATGTGCCAAAAGCAGCAAAAGGTTAGCATTTGTAAAATGTAGCTGATAGTAACAAGACACTAGCTAAAAGAGAAAGACTAGAAACTAAAAAAACTTACTTTAGCTAACAGCCAAAGAAAACACCAGCTAAAAGCTAGAAAAACCAAAATGCTAACTAATATTAAAAAATCACTAGTTAAAACTTAAAAAATCAAATATTTGCTGGAGGTAGAAAAGGCTAGCTAAAAGAAGTAAAACACTAAATTAAAGTTAAAAAAGCGAACACTAAATACTAACAGAACACAAATTAAACCCTAAGAAACTAAATGCTAGCTAATGGTAGCRAAACAYTAGCTAAAAGCCAAAAGTAGCAAAAGTTTAGATAAAAGTAAAAGTAGCAGAATTTTAGCATGTATGCCGAATTTTTCTTTCTTAATTTCTTTGTTACAATTAAAAACATTTGAAAGTACAGTTAAATATTTTGTCAAAGCGTAAACATTTCAAAAACCAAAAGTCTCAGCTGAACATTTTCTTCTACAATCAGCTGAAAGAGCAGAATAGAATAGAATAGAATAGAATAGAATAGAATAGAATCAGTCTTTATTGTGCCACAGAGGGGACATTCTGGTGTAACAGCAGCAGCAGATACATCAGTTCACAAACAATGTCTGCAACAGTAGCAATAATAATAAAAAATAAAATAAAACTACTGTACGATGCCATAAAGATAAAAATAAGACTCKGTGCAGAAGTGAATCAGAATCAAACAGAGAGGAAACCAGCAGGACCCACCTTCTTGGACTGAGTCTCGAAGGTGGACGGCAGCATGTTGGGAAAGAGTTTCAGAACCACAGGAAGGAGGAACTCCAAGAAGGGAACGATGATGAAGACCAGGAAGGGCACCAGCCTGAAGACGTCTGCACACGTCCTCAGAAACTACAGATAAACACAGGTGTTCAGCACACTTTAGCTGCTGCTGTAGTTTGTTTACACCTCCAGCAGAGGGCAGCAGCTCAAACTCAACACAAGGAGGTTCTATAGAACAGCTGGAGTGTGCAAAAACCAGGTGACCGTGTGATCGGCTGGAGAAGCTAACGGCTAACGCTAAACAGGCAAGACTCTGGATTTCCCATCACTGTACATGTTGACAACAGAGCAGAAAAAAAGGACTGACGATGTAGAAATCATTAAAACTGTTAATAATAATATTAATCAAATTATTGTTAATATTTTACAGTTCATATAATCTATCTAATGTTTTAAATAATGTCAGAAAAKCTGTTTGTGTTATGGATTTATTAACAGAAGATAAACAGGAAAACGTCTCATTTCACAACACAAGTCAGCAGATTTGATCTTATTTAGCTCAATGTGATCTGAGCAGAACATAATGTAACAGTTTAAAATTAAAATAATCTTATAAAGTCCATGTAATCACTGTTATTAATGAAGTGGTTAACAGATATTAGCTTGTGGAGCATATATACAGAGTTTAGCTCTGTTGAATCATGTTACAATTTAACACAAACTATTAAATTTGTCCTCTGATTAATATTTAGACCTACAGAGTGTAAAATATTATAAATGTCTGATTAATATTTAGACC